AGTCAAAGACCCCTTCCAAGTCGATAATCGACTTACTAACCTGGGCTAAGAAATACATCAACATGGATGAGACCATATTTCCAAGAAGAGATGCCTGGCATTAAAGAAGCCCTGCCTGAAGAGGTCACATGAGTCTAACCAGCGTCCGGATCCTTTCCATAGCAAACCAAGGCAAAACCCTCATCCAACACCTTTCACTCACTTGAACACCACAAGGTCTAACATTTTGATGGAAATTAAAGGCCTTAAAGAGTTGAAGTGGCCTCCGAGACTACAGGCTCCGCCTGAGGCCCGTGACAAAAGCAAATATTGCGATTTTCATCGAGATCATGAACACAAGACAGAAGGATGCTTCGCTCTGAAGCATGAAATTAAGGCTCTCATCAAGAGGGGTTTTCTAGGCACATATGTAAGTCAGGACAAGTGTCAGCGGAATAGCCAGAATAAGGGTAAGGCACCTGAAGATAGGAGAGATAAGTAACCAACCACGGGGACTATCAATATCAATGTCGGAGAAACGGCCTCGAGAGGGGACTCCAACAGTGGGTATAAGCAGTACGTCAACAATACCACTCGATCTCAAGCTTGGATCTCGGTAATGTAGAAGACATCACCTTCGGGTCAAAGGACGTAGAGGGAGTGTCCTTTCCTTATGACGATGCCTTGGTTATATCTACGATCATTGCCAATTTTGAGGTAAGAAGAATTCTAGTGGATAATGGAAGTACATAATGTACTGTCACATGAAGCTTTCGTTCAGATGGGTATATCGACTGAACACCTCAAGCTAGTGAAAACTCTCCTTCAAGGATTCGGAGGTGGTGCCGTTATTCCAGAGGGCATAGTGGGGTTACCTCTCACCCTGGGATCAAAAGGGAGACAGGTAATACTGATCACAACTTTTCAAGTAGTTCGTGCTCCTATGGCCTACAAAGCCATACTTGGAAGGCTGTTGCTGAATAGTGTCAAAGTAATTGTCTCAACTTTTCACTGGACAGTAAAGTTTCCTACAAGTAATGGGGTTGGAATCGTTCGAGGAAGTCAAACAGTAGCGAGACAGTAATATGTTACCAGCATTCGGGATATCAAGGCAAACGTCGTGCAACTCTCTGAGATTGAGCTTGACCTCGAGCATCGTGGGAGGCTTGCCCCGGTAGAAGAGATGGACGAGGTCGAGCTCAAGCTCGAGCTTGGAAGAAAAGTTACCACTGGTCGAGATCTTGATGCTACAATCACAGCCCAACTTGTCAGCTGCCTATCCCTCAACATCTATGTATTTGCTTGGAACATCGAAGATATGCTTGGAATAGACCCTAAAGTTGTAGTACACAGACATAACATAAACCCAAATGCAATACCTGTGAAGCAAAGGAGTAGACAATTTGTACCAGAGCGACGGTAGGTCATACGGAAAGAAATTGCTGAGTTCATTAAAGCGAAATTAATCCGGGAAGTCCAGTATCCCGATTAGCTTGCCAACGTAGTTCTTGTTAAGAAAGCCAATGGGAAGTGGCAAGTATGCATCGACTTTATAGATCTAAACAAAGCATGCCCTAAGGACAGCTATCCCCTACCTCGGATCAATAATCTGGTGGACAGTACCTCAGGTCATAAGTTATACAGTTTTCTGGATGCAATCTCTAGCTATCATCAAATTCTTATGGCAAAAGAAGATCAAGAGAATACCTCATTTATGGCTGATTCAGCCATCTACTGCTACAGGGTCATGCTATTTGGGTTAAAGAACGCAGGAACTACATATCAAAGACTTATCCATAAGGTCTTTGCTAACTTGATAGGGAAGAACATCGAGACATATGTGGACGACATGGTCGTTAAGAGCAAGTGAGTGGATGGTCATATCTCGGACCTTGAAGAGGTCTTCGCTACACTACGAAAGTACGGGATAAAGCGGAATCCTACAGAGTGTACATTTAGAGTAGCCTCCGGTAAGTTCT